TACGAAGACAGGACAGCGACTTTTGAGTCGACTCAAAAGTCATATGAAGACAGGACAGCGACTTTTGAGTCGACTCAAAAGTCATATGAAGACAGGACAGCGACTTTTGAGTCGACTCAAAAGTCATATGAAGACAGGACAGCGACTTTTGAGTCGACTCAAAAGTCATATGAAGACAGGACAGCGACTTTTGAGTCGACTCAAAAGTCATATGAAGACAGGACAGCGACTTTTGAGTCGACTCAAAAGTCATATGAAGACAGGACAGCGACTTTTGAGTCGACTCAAAAGTCATATGAAGACAGGACAGCGACTTTTGAGCCGACTCAAAAGTCATATGAAGACAGGACAGCGACTTTTGAGTCGACTCAAAAGTCATATGAAGACAGGACAGCGACTTTTGAGTCGACTCAAAAGTCATATGAAGACAGGACAGCGACTTTTGAGTCGACTCAAAAGTCATATGAAGACAGGACAGCGACTTTTGAGTCGACTCAAAAGTCATATGAAGACAGGACAGCGACTTTTGAGTCGACTCAAAAGTCATATGAAGACAGGACAGCGACTTTTGAGTCGACTCAAAAGTCATATGAAGACAGGACAGCGACTTTTGAGTCGACTCAAAAGTCATATGAAGACAGGACAGCGACTTTTGAGTCGACTCAAAAGTCATATGAAGACAGGACAGCGACTTTTGAGTCGACTCAAAAGTCATATGAAGACAGGACAGCGACTTTTGAGTCGACTCAAAAGTCATATGAAGACAGGACAGCGACTTTTGAGCCGACTCAAAAGTCATATGAAGACAGGACAGCGACTTTTGAGTCGACTCAAAAGTCATATGAAGACAGGACAGCGACTTTTGAGTCGACTCAAAAGTCATATGAAGACAGGACAGCGACTTTTGAGTCGACTCAAAAGTCATATGAAGACAGGACAGCGACTTTTGAGTCGACTCAAAAGTCATATGAAGACAGGACAGCGACTTTTGAGTCGACTCAAAAGTCATATGAAGACAGGACAGCGACTTTTGAGTCGACTCAAAAGTCATATGAAGACAGGACAGCGACTTTTGAGTCGACTCAAAAGTCATATGAAGACAGGACAGCGACTTTTGAGTCGACTCAAAAGTCATATGAAGACAGGACAGCGACTTTTGAGTCGACTCAAAAGTCATATGAAGACAGGACAGCGACTTTTGAGTCGACTCAAAAGTCATATGAAGACAGGACAGCGACTTTTGAGTCGACTCAAAAGTCATATGAAGACAGGACAGCGACTTTTGAGTCGACTCAAAAGTCATATGAAGACAGGACAGCGACTTTTGAGTCGACTCAAAAGTCATATGAAGACAGGACAGCGACTTTTGAGTCGACTCAAAAGTCATATGAAGACAGGACAGCGACTTTTGAGTCGACTCAAAAGTCATATGAAGACAGGACAGCGACTTTTGAGTCGACTCAAAAGTCATATGAAGACAGGACAGCGACTTTTGAGTCGACTCAAAAGTCATATGAAGACAGGACAGCGACTTTTGAGTCGACTCAAAAGTCATATGAAGACAGGACAGCGACTTTTGAGTCGACTCAAAAGTCATATGAAGACAGGACAGCGACTTTTGAGTCGACTCAAAAGTCATATGAAGACAGGACAGCGACTTTTGAGTCGACTCAAAAGTCATACGAAGACAGGACAGCGACTTTTGAGTCGACTCAAAAGTCATATGAAGACAGGACAGCGACTTTTGAGTCGACTCAAAAGTCATATGAAGACAGGACAGCGACTTTTGAGTCGACTCAAAAGTCATATGAAGACAGGACAGCGACTTTTGAGTCGACTCAAAAGTCATATGAAGACAGGACAGCGACTTTTGAGTCGACTCAAAAGTCATATGAAGACAGGACAGCGCACATGCTACCAAACCCAACCTGTCGGCGTCCAGCAGCACGACCCTCTTGCATTCCCTCAGGCGCTACATTCATACCCTTTATAAGACGACTCACCTTCAGCACAATGAGCCCGGTATAGAAAATGCACGGGTCGATAAAGACGGCGCACATGCTGCCGCACTGAAAGAGCTCATCGACATTCTTCATCACGATGTAATCAGCGTCCAGCAGCACGACCCGCTTGTACTCCCTCAGCCGCCACATTCATACCCTTTATAAGATGACTCACCTTCAGCACGACAAGTCCAGTGTGGAAGATGCAGGGGTCTATGAAGACAGCGCACATGCTGCCACACTGAAAGAGCTCATCGACATTCTTCATGACGATGTTATCAGAGTCTAGCAGCACGACTCTCTTGTACTCCCTCAGGCGCCATGCGAGCAGCTTGTTGAGAGCGAAGGGGAAGCGGGGGTTGAAGGCGGGCGTGGTGCGGTAGGGGTTGGGGATGTTGCTCACTCGCACCACCCGCACGCCCTCCTTCTTGCTGGTATGGGCAAGGGGAAGCACACATGATGCGAAGGGGAAGGGAGGGTTGAAGGCGGGCGTGGTGCGGTAGGGGTTGGGGATGTTGCTCACTCTCACCACGCGTACCCCCTCCTTGCTGGTGTTAGGGTTGGTTCGCCCAACCACGGAACCTACGGCGAAATGCGGAATGGAAGCGCGTGGGAGATTCTAGAGCTGAAACGGTGGAAATCGGCCTACGGTGGATATCGGGAGCTACGGCGTGAGAAGCGGGAGAGAGAATCGAGAAGAAATGTGCTAGAAGGAGGAAGAGAGAGGGAGAAGCATCGAGAAAGAGATTGACGGGGGGAAATTGTGGTCTGAGACCAAGGCGCGTTCGAGAAGGTTCCAGATTCGGTCTTGAGGAGTGTTCACCGAATTCGGTTCGGTTACGTGTGCGACTCGGGGTGAAACGAGGCGCACGCGGTTACTTGGGAAACAAGTGAAGTTACGAATCGCATTTTGTGTCTTGCCTGACTATAAACCTGTTTGTACTCATTCTGGAAATACAACATTGGACAACATTGAGATTCTGAAAATTGCTGAAGTGTGTATTGACAACTTCAAGCAGAGCTGCGCATATCGTTGGATTCGTGAGATCGTGGAGAACACGATAAGCAATAGCAAGTAGACTATTGCCGACTAAGGTGTTTACGATCCTAAGAGCTGGGGGAGGAGGAGAGCGTGTGTGAGAGGGGAGAGTGTTACTACCCAGGAAAACGAGAAGGACCGTTTGCTTATACAAACATGAAAGACAGGAAAGCAAAAGGAAAAAAACGATCATCCGATGTAATTTAACTTGCTCATCACGTTTCCAAGATGAAGTCTACTTGAACGAGGAGGGTTCGCTCACAGCGTATTGATCCACGTGGCAGGGACGTCTTCCGATGCCAGCACGACGAGATCCGCGACGGTGCCCGTGCGTCGGACGGTCTGCAGCATGACACGTGTCGCCACGTAATATTCGTAGTCACGTGGCGTGCCCATGTACAGGATTGCCGCGTAAGCAAACGACGCGTTGGCCGCCACGTCGGATCGCATCAGCGAGAATTCCGGAGCCTGGCCCGGCGCGGTGGCTACGGGTTCGGCTGACACGTGGCGCGGAACAGTTAGGGCGGCGCGTTTTGTCTCTTCTGCCACGTCACCCATCGCCACGGCTGATGCCGTGGTGCGCGCCGCCGCGAATTGCGGAGACGCGAGGACCAGCACGCACGCGAGGAGGACATGGTGAATCATAACGCGATTCTGAGAAGAAAATGCTGCTAGGAATAGAGAGGGAAAATTATAACGAGGACGAACTCAGGCGGTGAAAGGCCACGCAGTGAAGCAGGCTAACAGGGATAAACACCAGCCACTATTAAGGATGACCGGCCGCAGTGTGCGACTATGCGAATCTAGCCTACCTGCGTGAAACACGGAGACACCTAAAGAATGCCATGGTGCGATACGCGCTACTAGTTTGGCACGATATGCTGTTAGAGTGCAACGGTATCCTGCCAGTGTGCTACAGTGCCTGGATTTCCTCGATCGAGGTTATCACATCGCATCGCCCCTTCCAGCTAGTCAAGGCGACATCCGATCCCCGATAGAGGCGGGCCCGTGTGCTTCTGCTTTCTTATTATTTCAGCGACGTAGATACGGTGTTCTAAATTCCAATAGCGTGAGCAGGCATTGCAATATGGATGTCACAATGGAAAAGCTAGACAAGGAAATACAACCTCCGATATATGATTCTTTTTCAAAATGGGACGTGCTAAGAAAATGTACAAGAATACATCCAGACAACTGTACAATAAGAAGCTACGAACTGACGGATGGTACACCACTACCAGTCCTAAACCGCCCTACATTCACTTGTGCTATCTTGACACTGGGCAGGCATACAAAAAATGGCTTTTGCTTGTGCAACCTGTATCGCTCCGGGCGAGTGAACCAAAAAAAATCCGCGCCATGACACCCGGTTACCAACCACAGTAACCCCCCCCCTCCCCTCACAGCTGCTCCTGGGACACTGGGTTACACAATGGAAGACTTTTGCTTGTGCAATCTGTACCATTCAGAGCAGTGAACCTCAGTAACTCTGTGCCATGTTAACCTGGTTACCAACCACAGTAACCCCTCCCCTCACAGCTGCTCCCTTGATACAGGGCACACAACAAGAGGCTTTTGCTTGTGCAGCCTGTATCGCTCTGGGCGAGTGAACCTGAGAAACTCTGCGCCGTGCCACCCGGTTACCAACCAGAACAATCCTCGTAACCTATCCCTCTCCAACCTCGACTTCGATTCCTCTTCGATTTCTTCAATCACCTCTTCTTCAACCTCCTCTTCCTCCCCTCCTCCTCCCTTAACCCCTGTACCAGCACCACCTCTGTCCCTCACCCCATCCTTGACTGTTGTTGCGCTTGCCCCTCCGTTCTTGCAGATTTCTGGTCTACTCGGAAGCGTCACTGTAGAGAACGCAATCCCATGCGTTTGAAGCACAATCTTGGCCATCATAGTCGCACGAGGCATGTGGTAATCCGACGTAACCACCAGCACATGCGTGATTTTCAAGTCCGTAACATTTCCGTGAAGTTGGTAACCGTGTCCAACGCGTGGTTATCCACCCGCAACCGGCCGGCAGCCACTCCCTCCCTCATCATGACGTCAGCAGCATCATCATTGCCAGACGAGATGAACACCGGAAGCTTCCCGGAAGCTGTGGCGTGAGCGGGAGGGAGGGGGTCGAGCGTGCCGTGGGCTAGAGGCTTGGGGGAGGAGGTGAAGATGGGATCAAACGCAAGGCATGCAGCAGCAGCACTGCTACTACCAGCATTACCACTGCCGCTGCCGCTGCCACCGCTGCTGCTCGCAATGCTATCTCTTCTGCTTGTATTTTTATCCTGAGTCACCCCTATCACAGGGCTAGCCAACAGGGCAGCGAACCTCCCTGCCAGTCGTTCCCGATAGCGATTCCCTCCCAGCACAAGGATGGCCTGGAGGGAATGAAAGAGTAAAGGGAGGGACGGAGAGGTAATGGGAGAGGAGAGAGAGAGCAAGGAGCTGAATGAATTTCCCCAGACAGTCGTTCCCTACAGCAATTTCCTCCCAGCACAAGGATGGCGTGGCGGGAATCAAAGAGTAAAGGGAGAGGGGGAGGGGTAATGGAAGAGGAGAGAGAACAAGAGCGGAATGGGGGGGGAGGAAGAGGATGTGGAGGAGGAGGGAGAGCACGGAGGGGAATGAGTCCCCCATGGCCAGTCGTTTCCAATAGCAGCTCGCACAGTCAATCCCGTCTCCCTCCCAGCACGCATATGGGATGGCGGGATATGAATGACATAGCAGCAAGATTTGCAGTATGTGACAACAACGAAGGGTAGAGAAAATGGATGTGGAGAGACGGAGCCAGGATGGGTATTTTGAGCCGACTCAAAATACACCTGAAAGTGGAAATGGAGGGACGGGGCCAGGAAACGAGAGGGATCATCCAAAATATTGATCAAAGTCTTTCAGGGGAAAAGTCTCTCTCCTCCTAGCTTGCGAGGATGTGCAGAGATAAGCCTCAGGGAATAGGGAAAGTACCAGGGAAGTAACAATGAAAGGCTTTTGCAAACGTGAGGAGCCTCAGAGGTAGTGCCTGCCGGGGCTGTAGCGCGGGTTAACCGCGAGCTGAAGACGGACCTGGGGAGGCTGCAGCGCGGCAGTGCGCGACGCGGACAGTCCCCGCAGGATGCGGAGAGTGAGCGAGAAGGCGGATGCGAACGCGATCGACGCCGCCGTGCCGATCAACGGCCACAACCATCCCGCCGAAGCGCCTGATGCCGACGCGTGCGACGGGGACCGCGCCGTCACTGCAGCCGCCACGACCGCCATTCGGAGAAGCCTTGGCGAAAAAAATGATAAAATCCGCCTTACGGTAGAAAATCCACCTCACAAAATATTATGCACATCTGCAAAATAGAATCCGGTCAGCGCTATGGATAGAATCAGAATCCGGTCAGTGCTATGGATAGAATCAGAATCCGGTCAGCAGTCAGCTTGAAGGAAAAGAACACGCTCAGTAGATGAGAGACAATCATTCGATTCCCAGTCTCGCGATGCGGAGGAGACTATTCGAGAGTTGTGCGATTGGCTGTTTGACGCGATGAATTGGACCGTTTGTGGGTGGAGCTTTGCAGAATCAGCACGCAGACGACGCTGAAATCCAGTGGGACATCGACGGCGTATCGTGTTTCACGGACTACGTACGTCATCGATTGGAAAGGTGAGTGGCGGAAATAGTGGGAAACTGTGCAGACGGGCAGGGAACAAACCACAAGATTATTCCTGTTTTAAAGCTCTTAGTTATGAAGCATGATTCGATTTCAAGTGCTGAATACAACTTTCTCGTCTAAGATATTATCAGTTGTACTTCTTTACACGCAAGTTATCATAGCACATAGAGCAGCCCAATAAATATTCCACTTACAAAAATACCACTCCGAATCTAGCATGCAGAGTCAAGAAGACAGCACAACTAGGCGGTCGCCAGCTCGCCACAACACCGGCTTGTTCTTATCTTGGGGGTTTAGCTGCCACTTGCCTCCGTTATTAGCACAGTTGTAAGCAATCATCAGCTTGCGCCGGCGCAAAACCCGACTCTGCAAGAAGGTGGAAGGGGAAAGTGTATTCGACGAAGAGAATACGGAGGAAAACTATTGGGCAAAAAAGTGAGCCTCGAGTCGACAAATTCACCGACTCAAGGAATCACACATGGGTAGAAAGAGTGCTTGTGTGTCTGTGGGTGTTTCTTGTGTGCACGCGAGGGGGAGGGGGGGGCTCGCATCGCATGTGTGTGTGCATGGGCGCGTGCGTGAGCACAACACGGCCATGCATGCAAAACCTGGAGGCCAAAGAAGCAGAGTGCTTCACCGTCCACGAGTGAGAGTCAGAGTGAGGGTGCAAGGCAGCAGCCCACCTGCAGGTCGAAGAAGGAGAGGGCTTCGCCGTCCACGAGGAAAGAAGTGGCATCCTCCAGTGAGAGCGACGAACCCGCCCCGCTCACGATCTCGTCCAATACGCCACCGACATCTGGCATGGCAAGGAAAGGGTGGGTTTGCGTATTGAGGCGCCGGAAGGGGATGGGTGTGAGTTTTGAGACGTCTTACACGGACGCGCTCACGATCTCGTCCAATACGCAGTTTGCACCAGAATCCTCGCAAGCACCACTTGTCTATCAACACAGTTAGTCAGCCACCTCTCTTGCACCTCCTCTGTCCCCTGTCCGCCAACGCTGCTTCATTCACACATCAGCAGCAGCACCCACCCACCCACCCACCCACCTGGGTCCATGGCAGTTTGAGCCAGAATCCTCGCATGTACCGCATTCGTATCAATACTATCCGTCAACCACCTCCCCTGCACCTCCTTCCCGATATCCCCCTCCACTGCCGCCGCCGCTGCCGCCACCCCTCCCACCCCTTTCCCCTCCCCCTCTCCCCCGCCCTCCTCCCCTCCCTCTCCCCTCCCCTCCACCGCAAAATCACTCTCTGCAAGCACCGTCGCCCCTGCCTGCCCCCGCTCCCTCTGAATCGTCCGAATCATCATAGCTGTTACAGAAGCAGACGGCATGAGCACCCCCTCTCCCCCCTCCCCACCCCCACCACTAGCACCCTCCCCTCGCTCCGCCCCCCCCTCGTCGTCACGCGTCTGCGGCTGGTCGGTGGGTGAGGCTTGGTGCGAGCGAGGGGCGAGCACGATAACAGTATCGAAGGCTTCTAGAGGAACCCTTTCCAGATCGGCCATTGATCCAAGATGCCCGTGGTCTGGATGGAGGAGGGTAGGAAAGGGAAAGGGGAATGGGAAGGGGTGAGGCTTGGTGTGAGCGGGGGGCGAGCACGATGACAGTATCAAAGGCCTCTAGAGGAACCCTCTCCAGATCGGCCATTGAGCCAAGGTGCCCGTGGTCTGGTGTGCAGGGGAAGAGAGGGGGAGAAAGAGGGGAGAACACATTGGGGGTGGTGTGAGCGAGGGGCGGGCACGATGACAGTGTCGAAGGCCTCTCTAGAGGAACCCTTTCCAAATCGGCCATGAAGCCCAAGAGCCCGTGGTCTGAAATGGAAGGGAGGGATGGGTGAGGGGCGAGCACGATAACAGTGTCGAAGGCCTCTAGAGGAACCCTCTCCAGATCGGCCACTCACACTGACTGTGGCAGGTTGAGGTTGTTTGATCATTTCACTGAAAGAATCGATTCAAAATGCGTGGTAGAGTTTTGTGTAGAAGTTCCCTTCCCACTACCACTCACAGAGCGAGAGGTTGAGATTGAGGCTGCCTGATTTGATGAAGGGATTGAGGCGCTGCTGTGCTGCTGAGAGAGGGAGAGTCGACCATTACTGCCACCTGACTGCCTGCTTGGTAGGGAGAGGAGGGAGGTGGAGAGAGCGAGGGGAAGCATGAGAGAAGACTCGATGAAGGAAAGGGCGTGGTAGGTGGTGTGCTGCTGAGAGGGACAGGGTGTCTAGCATTACTGCCACCTGGCTGCCTGCTTGGTGGATAGAGGGGTGAGGTGACTTTTGAGTCGACTCAAAACTCGCCTCGTTACCATGGCACACGACACATTTTTGAGTCGACTCAAAGGGACAGGGTGTCTAGCATTACTGCCACCTGACTGCCTGCTCGGTGGACAGGGGGGTGTGGGGGGGAGGGGGGGCGGGATTAGAGGGAAAGTGTGACAAGGCAAGAATATCGTCTCGAAGTGTGACTGCATCGAAAGATGAAAGAGAAGGGGGGCCAGCTTGGCACCGAGCAGCAGGAGGGCCTGTGCCACGTCATAAGGAGAGAATGAATCCACTAGCGTCTTAACCTCCTAGGCTCCTAAATGTTGTAACGACGAGTTAAGACTTACGGGGAGCCAGCTTGGCACCGAGCAGCAGGAGGGCCTGTGCTGAATTGAATCATGAGGAGAGAATGAACGAAAGCTACCATCCTCCCAAGCTCCTATATGTTGTACCCACGAGTTAAGACTTACGGGGAGCCAGCTTGGCACCGAGCAGCAGGAGGGCCTGTGCTGAATTGAATCATGAGGAGAGAATGAACGAAAGCTACCATCCTCCCAAGCTCCTATATGTTGTACCGACGAGTTAAGACTTACGGGGAGCCAGCTTGGCACCGAGCAGCAGGAGGGCCTGTGCTGAATTGAATCATGAGGTGAGAACGAACGAAGCTACCAACATCCCAAGCTCTTCTATGCTGATCTGAATCCATCACAAAAGAATGACTGAACGAGTTGAGACTCACGGGGAGCCAGCTTGGAACCGAGCAGCAGGAGAGCCTCTGCCACGTCATCCCTCCACTCGCCCGCAATCAGCACGTTGTGGCGGCGCCTCACGTTGCCACGTGGCAGGCTGTCGTAGTGCCACGGCGTCGCGAAGGAAGCCAGCCGCTTCTCCGCCAGCTCGCGCTCCTTTGCTGACTCAGCGGTCGGCTTACGTGGCGCGTAGCTGTCTGCTGACTCAGCAATGACCAGCAGACGGTCCCCGGGCTGATGTGGCATGGATAAGAGGTGAGGAAAAGGAGGGTGAAAAGGGAGTGGGGAAGAGTGTGAAGGGGGGAATACAGTTAGGAGGGTTGATAAGCATTCTCTCATCCTCCGTCCCAACCATCTGCTGCACCCCAGACGGCACACTCCTTTTCATCACTCTCCTTTCATCCAACCAATCAATCTCACTCCCTTACAGTCACGCTACCTCCCTTCAATTCAATCACACTCACCTCAATCACGGTGTCACCAGAGGGGTTGATGAGCATCCTCTCATCCTCTGTGCCCACTACAGCACACTCCCTTCAATCACAATGCAATCCTTCACGCCCCTTACAATCCCACTCGCTCACCTCAATCACAGTGTCACCGGACGGGTTGATGAGAGTCCTCTCATCCTCCGTGCCCACCATCTGCTGCACGCCACAATACCGCCCTCCCCTCCATCCCCTTCAATCTCACTTCCTTATAGTCACACTGCACTACAAGCACACTACAGTCACGCTCACCTCAATCACAGTGTCACCGGACGGGTTGATCAGAGTCCTCTCATCCTCCGTGCCCACCATCTGCTGCACGCCACACGGCACGGCATCTTCAAACATAAACACTGCCTCTGCGAAGGTGCGACCCTCAAGCTCCTTCCTGTAGGGAAGCGGGGTAATGGGAAGGGAGGGATGTCGTGGGAAACCTGTGTATGCTGCCACCGAAACCACCAGTCAGCGAACCATCTGCTGCACCCCGCACGGCACGGCGTCCTCAAACATGAACACCGCCTCTGCAAACGTGCGTCCCTCAAGCTCCTTGCTGCATGGAAAGAAAGAGCACCAACACGCACTCAGCACAACACAGCATCTTCAGACTGTGCTGCCATCCAGCCAGCCAGCCAGCAGACAGCATCTGCTCTGTTGCACGCCGCATGGCACAGTGTCCTCACACATGAACACCGCCTCTGCAAAGGTGCGCCCCTCAAGCTCCTTCCTGTAGAGGAGGAGGGGGGTTGTTAGGAAGGAGAAGGGGGAAGGGGGAGACCTGTGCTGCCAACCCACCAACCATCTGCTCTGCTGAATGCACGCCACACCACACGGTGCAGGCTCACAGCACAGCGTCCTCAAAGAGAAACACATCCCCTGCAAACGTGCAGCCCTCAAGGTCCTTTCTGTTCGAAAAGGGAGAGAACAGACAGCAGGGAAGGGTGCTGCAAACTGGTTTCCTGTGAGGACGAGTGGAAGGACCTGTGCTATCCCATCCCATCCCATCCCATCCCATCCCCTCCCCTCCCCTCCCCTCCCCTCCCCTCCCCTCCCCTCCCCTCCCCTCCCCTCCCCTCCCCTCCCCTCCCCTCCCCTCCCCTCCCCTCCCCTCCCCTCCCATCCCATCCCATCCCATCCCATCCCATCCCATCCCATCCCATCCCATCCCATCCCATCCCATCCCATCCCATCCCATCCCATCCCATCCCCTCCCATCCCCTCCCCTCCCATCCCATCCCATCCCCTCCCATTTCGTGCCGCCCATCCCATTGCATCCCAGCTCCTTTCATTCTCACCACTCTCTGAAGTGAAAATCGGCTCCCTGGAACCCCAGCAGCTCAGCAGTCACAGCGTGGCTGGCCGGCTGTAACGCCAGGTCCACCAGGCCGCTAAGAGCTAGCTGGCTGTAGCATAACAGTTCCCATTCTCACCATTCTCCCTTTTCTCCCTATTCTCCCTTCATTCTCTCACCATTCCTTGAAGTGGAATTCCGCTCCTTGGAACCCCAGCAGCTCAGCCGTCACAGCATGGCTGGCCGGTTGCAGCGCCAGGTCCACCAGCCCCCTCAGGGCCAGCTGGCTGTAGCACAACAGCTCCCATTTCTCACCATTTCTTGAAGTGAAACTAGGCTCCCTTGAACCCCAGCAAAGCCAGCCTGGCTGTAGCACCAGGCCCATCACTCAGTCACCATTCTCCCTTTTCTCCCTATTTCTCATCGTCCCCCTTTTTTCTCCCCATCCTCACCATTCCTTGAATTGGAATTCCGCTCCTTGAAACCTCAGAAGCTCAGCCGTCACAGCATGGCTGGCCGGCTGTAGCGCCAGGTCCACCAGCCCTCTCAGGGCCATGCCGCCCGTCTCCACAGGCACCAGCTTGCGCCGCCTCTGCCCTGCAGAAGAGGACGAACCAAACGAGGCAGCCCTCGCTTGGCCGGCCGGCGAAGCGTGGCTGGTAGTGGCAGGGACAGCAGGAGCTGCGGTGCTTTCAGTGGTGGTGGGGATGGAAGAGGAGGGGGTTGTTGTGGCAGTAGTGGTAGCAGCATCGGAGGGAGATGGTGCAGTGGTGATGGCAGTGGCTGCTGATCCCGCATGGGTGACCACACGAGCAGCCTCAGATGATGTCCTGCATAGGGATGGGGATGGGGATGAATTGGTTTGGGGATGTGAATGGGTGGTGTGCTGAGTGAGTGGAGACTTCATTAGCTGCTCACCCACCCCCAACAGCGACCTGGTGAGCAGCCTCAGAGGAATGTGGATGGGGAGGGCATGTCAGGTAAGTGCAGCGGAGAGAGATGGTGCAGTGGTGATGGCAGTTGCTGCTGATCCCGCATGGGTGACCACGCGAGCAGCCTCAGATGATGTCCTGCATAGGGATGGGGATGGGGATGAATTGGTTTGGGGATGTGAATGGGTGGTGTGCTGAGTGAGTGGAGACTTCATTAGCTGCTCACCCACCCCCAACAGCGACCTGGTGAGCAGCCTCAGAGGAATGTGGATGGGGAGGGCATGTCAGGTAAGTGCAGCGGAGAGAGATGGTGCAGTGGTGATGGCAGTTGCTGCTGTTCCAGCATGGGTAACAAGGCGGGAAGTCTCGGATGATGATGACCTGCAGAGGGATGGGGATGACGACGAGGATGGGGATGGGGATGGAAAGACCAGTGAGTGTGGGGAAGGAGATGGTGCAGTGGTGATGGCAGTTGCTGCTGATCCGGCATGGGTAACAAGGCAGGCAGTCTCGGATGATGATGACCTACAGAGGGATGGAGATGAGGATGAGGATGAGGATGATGATGTCAAGCCATGAGCATCCCAGCATATGCTGCTGCCTGGCCTTATCCAGTCGCTTCATCAGGCTCGCATGAAGTTTCCCCAGCAGCCGTAGTAACGCCCTCAGGTCGGGACATCAACCGTAGCCTATGACTCCCTAACCAGTCATTCCATCAACTCACTCACCCCAGCATGTGCTGCAGCCTGGCCCTATCCAGTCGCTTCATCAGGCTCGCGTGCAGTTTCCCCAGCACGATTGGTGCACTTGGATCGGGACATAGCAAATTAACCCAAGTCAACTCAGGTCAACCTACTCACTCACCCCTGCATGTGCTGCTGCCTGGCCTTATCCAATCGCTTCATCAGGCTCGCATGCAGCTTCCCCAGCAGCATCGTGTTCTCGGGGCATGCCAGCTCAGCAACCACGTCACCCTGGATTTCAGGAAGTACCGCTAGTGCCATGGCTGTTTGCAGCACCTGATGGTGACGTGGAACATGGAGGAGTGAGCATTGAGCAACGAGAATGTTAAATTCGCATCTCTGAGCCAGAGTCAACCTCTGCTCCTTGTACAACTGTTTCACAAATACCATGAATTGATCACATGAACAAGGAAGATTACAACAACAACAGTTCACAACCATAAACCATGAATCCAAACGAAAATTGTCACTTGAACGTCTGCCGTGTGCTGTGCACCTGACCATCTGTTGTTTTTACCCGAGCCTCTGCTGTTTGCACCTGAGCATCTGTTGCTTTCACCTGAGCGTCCGCCTGCTGGCGAGAGGCCAGCTGGGGCGAGAGGATGACGATGGACGCTGCCTTGGAGGCGGAGCAGCGGTTGAGATCAGCTGCCTTCAGGGGGTCACCGCGACGAGTCATCACCTGAAGGGGGGGAGGGAGAAACAAAGAACATGGGGAGTGAGAAGCGAAGGGGAAGAGACCAAGAGAAGAGAGTAGCAGAGGCCATTTGGGAGGCAGAGCAGCGGTTGAGGTCGGCTTCCTTCAGGGGGTCACTGCGACGTCAGCCATGTGGACTGGGCGAGCTTCATTAGTGTTAGTGGGAAGCTCGCCCAGTCCACATGGCTGACGGTCGGCTTCCTTCAGGGGGTCACTGCGACGAGTCATCACCTGGTGAGAGGAGGTGGGGAGGGATGGGCAAGGGGAAGTAGGGAGAACTGAGATGGGGTAGGGAGCAAGAGAGCAGCAGAGGCTGCCTAGGAGGCAGAGCAGCGGTTGAGATCAGCTGCTTTCAGGGGGTCACCGTGACGAGTCATCACCTGAAAAGTTGGGGGTGCAAACAAGAGATGGGGGTGAGGTGAGTACAAGAGAGAGATAGAGTATGATGTAAGGGCACGTGGATGGAGCTGGGACAGCGGTTCAGGTCGGCTGTTTTCAAGGAATCACCACGACGAGTCATCACCTGGCGAGAGGAGTGAGAGGAGGTGGGGAGGGAGGGACGGACAAGAGATGGGGAGGAGTGACATGTGAAGGGATAGAAAGCAAGAGAGCAACGAGGGAGGCGGAGCAGTGGTTGATTGAGGCCGGCTGCTTTCAAGTTTTGAGACGTCTCAAAATCAAAACTAATTTAGTTTTGAGACGTCTCAAAACTGCCTGGGAGGCGGAGAAGTGGCTGATTGAGGCCGGCTGCTTTCAGCGGGTCACCACGCCGCGTCTCACTCACCTGATGCGGAATAGGGAGAGAGAACAGTGAGGTGAGCGAACAGAAGATGGGGGTAAGGAAAGGAAGTGGGGTACGGGGATGGAGACAAGAGAGCAGCGGTTGAGGTCAGCTGCTTTCACCTGCTCACTCACCCTGTTGACCCTCTCCATCCTTTGAGGTGCCTCAAAAGTCTGCTCACTCACCCTTAACCCTCTCCATCCTCTGGGGCTCACTCCATCCTCTGGGGCTCACTCCATCCTCTCTTGTCAATCAACCCAGGCTCCAACGGTGTGCCATCTGTTCTCCCTTCCTCCCTCACTCGTTGACCCATCTCCTCTCTCCCTTCCTCCATCCCCAACCCTCTCCCTCGCTCCCTCCCTCCCTCCCTTACTCACCCCCTCCCTCCCTCCCTCCCTCCCTCCCTCCCTCCCTCCCTCCCTCCCTCCCCCCCTCCCTCCCTCCCTCCCTCACTCACTCCCCCACTCACTCACCCTCATCCCTCCTCGCTCTTCGACCGGTACAGCATCCAGCAATTCTCCATCCATCTCCAGACTCTCCCTCTCTGCCAGAACAACCACTGACGGCCGCTCCCCCGCTTCCACCAGAGCCTTCACCAGGGGAATGGTCTTGGGGGTCCAGCCTGAAAGCGGGAAAGGGAGTGAGGTTCGGGATTGGGGTATCAGGAGGAAACAGAGGTCATTCAAACGCTCCCCCGCTTCCACCAAAGCCTTCACCAGGGGAATGGTCTTGGGGGTCCAACCTGACGGGGGGAGGAAAAAACAAGTGTGAACTAAGAGCGGAGCAGAGAAGAACAGAGGTGGCTCTTGAGTCGACTCTACCTCTCTGCCAGAACCACCACCGATGGCCGCTCCCCCGCTTCCACCAGAGCCTTCACCAGGGGAATGGTCTTGGGGGTCCAGCCTGACGGGGGGAGGAGGGTCATGATGGGGAAAGGCACAGCACAGGGAAGGGACAAAAGGGACTTGTGAGTCGACTCAAGCATCTGACTGCCAGAACCACCACTGACGGCCGCTCCCCTGCTTCCACCAGCGCTTTCACAAGGGAATGCTTTTGGGGGTCCAGCCTGAAAGGGGGAGTGAGGGAGGGAGGGTGATGACGGGAAACAGGGGGAAAAAGAGGGAACAGAGTCGAGTCAAGCTTTTGCCAGCTCCACCACTGGTGGCGGTGGGGCGGATAAGGAGTGGGAGCAGGGTGGGTGGGGAGAAAAGTAATGCTTCCTGATTGTGGTTGCTTCCTGATTGTGGTTGCTCTCTATCACTGCCCCGTTGTCCTGCTCCAGCTGATCTACCTTGCTCGCCACTAGGTTCGTTGCCAAACCCCCTTGAAGCACACAGCACAACACACACCATACAATCATGCTCGCTCACTACACCTATCCTTTCTTCTTACCGCACACAAGAGTGTGGTTGCTCTCGATGACCGCCCCGTTGCCCTGTTCCAGCTTATCCACCTTGCTCGCCACCAGGTCCGTTGCCAGACCCCAGGAAAACACACACTACAGTCATACTCGCTAATAGCAAAAACCTCGGCTTTTTTTTTTACTCACCACACACAAGTGTATGGTTGCTCTCTATGACCGCCCCGCTGATCCACCTTGCTCGCCACCAGATACGTTGCTAGACTCCCTCCCTTGAGGCACACTGTGTGTGGGCCACACGCAGAAACACTCACCCCACTCACACTCGCTCGCTACACCTATCCCTTCATCCACTCACCGCACACAAGCGTGTGGTTGCTCTCTATAACAGCCCCATTGCCATGCTCCAGCTGCTCCACCTTGCTCGCCACCAGGTCCGTTGCCAGAGCCCAGGAAAACACACACTACAGTCACACTCGCTATTAGCAAAACCAAAGTTTTTTTTTTGTACTCACCGCACACAAGGGTGTGGTTGCTCTCAATGACCGCCCCGTTGCCCTGCTCCAGCTGATCCACCTTGCTCGCTCGTCACCAGGTCCGTTGCCAGACCTCCCTTAAGGCACCACACTCACACTCTGTGGAAAACATACACCCCACTCACACTCGCTCGCTACACCTATCTATTCGTCTGCCTCACCGCACACAAGCGTGTGGTTGCTCTCTATGACCGCCCCGTTGCCCTGCTCCAGCTGATCCACCTTGCTCGCCACCAGGTCCGTTGCCAGACCCACCAGCAACGCAAAGAAGAGCATTCCCCCCACCGACACAACCGCGCTCACCACACGCTTCGGACCCGAGGCCTGTAGAAGAGGGGAAAGGGGAGGAGAGGGAGGGAACCAGAATGCCAGACCCACCAGCAAGCAAAGAGGAGCATCCCTCCCACCGACACCACTGCACTCACCACCACACACGCTTCGGACCCGAGGCCTGTGGTGTTGGAGGAGGTGGAGGGAATGAGGGTTTAGGGAGGGGGGATGGAGTGGTGGAAGCGTTCACATGCGTGAGTGTACGTGTGTGTGCGTGTGTGCGCGCGTGTGTGCGTGAGTGTGCGTGTGTTGTGTGCGTGTGTGTGTGTGTGTGCGCGCGCGTGTGTGCGTGTGTGTGTGTGTGTGTGTGTGCGCGCGCGTGTGTGTGCGTGTGTGAGCGTGTGTGTGTGTGTGTGCGCGCATGTGTGCACGTGTGCGCGCGTGTGTGCGTGTGTGTGCGTGTGTGTGTGTGTGTGTATGTGTGTGTGTGCACGTGTGTGCGTGAGCGTGTGTGTGTGTGTGTGTGTGTGCGCACGTGCGCGCGCGTGTGTGAGTGTGTGTGCACGTGTGTGTGAGCGTGTGTGTGCGTGTGTGTGCGTGTGTGTGCGTGTGTGTGCGTTTGTGTGCATGTGTGTGTAGGAAAGAGGGGGACTTTCACGCACCCACCTCATTGACGTGCTCGCTGGGGTTGCTCACAAACGTCCACGACACCCACACGGACTCGCCAAGTGGCAGGTCGTCATTGGACGCCACGGCAGCTGCCTTATACAGCACCCCGCCCACTGCTGTTAAGAGCATGCAGATCGCCAGCAGCGTGAGGGCCTGGAGGAGTGAGCCGAAAAGGGAGTTGAAAGGGGTTTGAAGAGGTGAAAAGCGGTACTAAGCAAGAACATTGTTACAGCTGCCTTGTAGAGTACCCCGCCCACTGCAGTCAGCAGCATGCAGATCACCAGCAGCGTTAGGGCCTGGAGGAGAGAGTGGGACACGTGGTTGAAGGGGTTACCATCGTAACCGTGTCTCACAAAACACCACCACACCACACCATACCACACCACATCGCATCACACTGCTGCTGCCTTGTAGAGCACCCTGCCCACTGCAGTCAGCAGCATGCAGATCGCCAGCGGCGAGAGGGCCTGGAGGAGTGCGACGAAAGGGGTTGAAGGGGGTTTCACGTGGTGAGGAAGGGTAACCAGAACGACATCAACGCTGCTGCATTGTAGTACAGGTTGCCAAGTCAAGAGCATTCAATACAAGCACCTACCCATGCAAGCACCTACCCATGCAAGCACCTACCCATGCAAGCACCTACCCATACAAGCACCTACCCATACAAGCACCTACCCATACAAGCACCTACCCATGCAAGCATCTACCCACGCAACACCCACCCACCCTCACATATTGAGGTGACTTTTGAGTCGACTCAAAAGTCACCTACCCACGCAACACCCACCCACCCTAACACATTGTCCACTTAATGATTCAAGCTGTCACCCGCCCACCTTGCAATTGGGCTCCGTGGCAAAAAGGTTGTCCAGGCAGTAGAGCCGAGCAGGCGATCCCTGCACGTGTTACTTACTTATCTCGACTCAAAGGCCGCCTCTTTCGCGCGGACACACACACACACACACACACACTCACACACACACACACACACACACACACACTCACCCACCTTGCTGTTGGGCTCCGTGGCAAACAGGTTGTCCAACCAGTACAGCAGGCGAGCACGCTTGGACAGGCGTCCCAGGGGCTTGGCCTCTTGCACGGCCAGGGGGATCTGATGAAAACGGAGAGGGGGTGGAGAGTGGAAGCAGAGAGTAGAGAGTAGAGACAGAGGGGGTTTTCAGATGATTCAAGACAGGCGCCCTAGCGGCTTGGCCTCCTGCACGCCCAGAGGGATGGGATCTGAGAAGGCCAAGTGAATGTGAGAGAGGGGGGTGAGTGAGCGGGTGGTGTGGTGGGTCGGGGAGGGTGGGGGTGGGAGGTTGCGGGTTGATACACTTCAAAGCAGGCGGCCCATGGGCTTGGCCTCTTGCACGCCCAGAGGGATCTGGCAAGGTTCAAAAGTGTGGGTGGTGGGTGGGGTGGGGTGGGGTGGGGTGGGGTGGGGTGGGTGTGGGAGAGATATGATATGACATGTCTGGTTCAACTCAGACGACACATGGTGGACAGGCGCCCCAGGGGCTTGGCCTGGCCTTTTGCACGCCCAGAGGGATCTGAGAAAAAAGAGGTGGTGTTGATGTAGGAGCGACATAGACTCGGTTCTGAAACTGGTTACTGGTGTTACAGCTCAATCAATCCCCTTGGTTTCCCAAACCAACAAAGGAGATTGAAGCAGAAGGAGCAGTAAAAACAGCCACACCAACGCACCTGAAACAGCAGCAGCAGCCGCAGCAGCATCAGCACCACCACCACCATCACCACCACACCATACTTGAACAGCAGCAGCAGCAGCAGTAGCAGTAGCAGCAGCAGCATCACCACCACCACCACCACCACCACCACCACCACCACCACCACCACCACCACCACCACCACCACCACCACCACCACCACCACCACCACACCATACCTGAACAGCAGCGGCATAAGCAGGCGGAGGGAGAGAGGCGATGGGACGAAGGGGGCTCCACCCCAGCAGTGCTGCTGCTGATGCTGCCACCAGCGCTGCTGCTAGAATGAGAGGCCGGAGGGCAGAGGGCTGGATGGGACCAAGGGGAAAGAAGGGGGACGGAAGGGGAGTGGGCGAGAGGGAGAGGGAAAGAGGCGGTGGGGTGAAGGAGGCTACATGGAATGGAATGCTCCGCTGTTGATGCAGCAAGCAGCGCTGCTGCCATGAGCAGCGGTCCCGAGGACGGAGGGTACGTGGACGGCTAAATAGGACCAGGGAAAAGTAAGTGGTGGGTGGGTGGGGAGAGTGCGGAACGGGGGAGTATGGAGAGAGGCAGAGGGTGGAGGGGGAAGAAAGGAGGTGGGGCGCATTTCACATCTTTCACCCACATTGCTTACACTCACACGTTAAGAGCCACATTGCTCTGCTCACAGTATTCACCTAGACACAACAAGCGAGAGGTATTTGGCTGAAAGTTGTGACATCGCACGGAACATGCATGTATACACATAGTACATACATATACAGCATGCCTTTTATCATGAATGCGTGGTCTCCTTCCCTCTGCTACGTCCCTACCATTATAGGCGACGTCGCCCGACGCTCCGCCTCGTTGCGCCACTCCGCTTCCGCGCGCTGAGCCTCACCGCCGCCTCCGCCAGCGTAAGCGGAAGCCTCCGCGCGGACCGGTCCGCGGACGGCCTTGCTTGCAACGGTCGCATTGCGCCTGCTTTCAGGCGCTCCAGAAACGCGCCTGGCGCAACTAAGCGCTTGCGGAACGCCGAACAAGGCTGATCTGTTGCTTCTGAGGCTGTGCGCATTGCCGCCCGGAGCAGTTCCCCGCGCAAGGAGGCTGCTTGCGCCGATGGGCCTCCGCCCGCGTGCGGGCTGCGCTGACGTAGGCGGAAACGGCGCAAGAGGGGCCGCATGCTGGAGCAGCAGCCGCATGGCCATGCTGGTTGAGGAACAATGATAGCTTATCAGCGCGCGCGGCGGCTGTCGTGCGCGCGCAAAGGCTTCCGCTGCCTATACTGGATGGAAAATGAACTGCTGATGATACTTCTTGCGAAATCAACTAGCTTACTCAGTACTGAACTAAAGGCCCAGTTGATACACGTGAATGAATGCCTTATCTTACGACGTTGCGAGGCTGACAGTACTACACTAGCCCCTCGATGCTCTCTTGACTGATGTCGGAGTAGGAAACATAGATAAACCGTGAATATTCGAACCTCCGCTGCACTGCGGTACGAGCTTAGCTTGAGCGTACTTAGTTATGCGCTGCGCTGCTAGCAAGATGGGTGAAGTACAGACACAATGCAGCAGGAATGCGACGGAGTGGTAAAAAACGAGCCAGCCTAAGTACAGCTTAAATAACGCCTAGCTAAGTACCACAGCAGCCGCCTATCCCGAGCTCGGCTCAAGACCACAGGAACCGCAGGTCGGCTCCGGGAATGGCGGTGACTCTTCGGATACTGTACACTCGGAATGGTCAAGCTTGGTCCTGAAATCTGAAGGCACTGTGGAGCTTCGGTTTTTCGCTGCTCCTCTGACACGACTGTATGCGGTTTTATAAAACCCTTTTGAAGCGCAATAGACCGAAGGAAACCGTGATATGTGACCAGAAATGTTTCGCCAGGTTCACCCTCCCAGCAAATGCTGCAGACCTTGGGGGACTGTCAGAATTGAATGGTATGGGCTTCAGTGACTGACAAGTCTGAGGGCGCAATCCCGTCGGTTTCAAGCTGTCTGGTACCTGTGATTTTCAAAAGCCAAAGGAGCATTTCGATTTTTGTTTGAACATTAAAAAATATGCGCCGCGCTTTTGAATACGGCCCGGTACCTTGAAATTCAATTCCCTCCCAAAACTCTGCACGAATCACGGAATGCGCAGGAAATGGTGAGGATAGTTTCAGAACGGTTCAATGCGTTTAACCGAGCTCTTATTGTATCATTATTATTGATTCTCTCAATTTCTTGGTGTCACCCTGAATTGGCGCTTGAGGCCAGCCTCGAGATAGTTGTCAGGAGCAATTGCGAAGGCTCTACTCGACTACACATGTGATACCTCTCGTTCGAGTACTGCTCCTCGATTCACACTAAGTCCCGGCGATAAGTCCGCCGCAGTTGTGATAACTCTCGGCGCTCACAACAGCCCTGAGTCAGTACGTAGCAATGTCCGCTGCGGCGTCTCTTGCTCGATCAGTCGAAACACACGTGTTGCGACGACGACCGTCGGTGCCGTCGCTTACCGTCGACAGCACCAGGAGCGCCGCGAGACCGAGCTTGGTAGAGAAACCGAGCGCCGTAAGACCGAGCTTAGTAGTGGGATGTCGTCGGTCCGTCGCGGCGCGCGCCTCTTACGGCGGAGACTCGGCGCGAAGGAGTCTAGATGCGGTGGCCAGTGCAGATCTCCTGGGCCGTTTCGCCGGGTCGTTCGCGGCTCAGCGGCGAACCCGAGCGACGAAGCCTAGTTTCATTAACGCTGGTAACTGCAGTTTCGTTCATCTAGGGTGTCAGTATGATCGCCGTGAAGAAGGCTCTAGCTTCGGTCTCCTCCAGCCCTGGAAACGCCAGCTAATGGGAGGCCGCCACGTGTCTGGTCAACAAATGAGAGAAACGGCTACGCTCGTTGCAAGATCAGGGCGTTCATCCTCGTCGTCATCCCCAACATCCCCTTCCTCCTTCCATTCCTCTTCCTCGTCCTCTTCCCCTTCCCCTCCCTCCTCACCTTCCGCTTCCTCGTCCTCCCCCTCTTCCTCCTCTCCTGCCTATTACTCCCCTTCCTCCTCGGGCCTTCCGCGTTTCTTCTCCGAAAGTCTGCCCCCGCTAATGGTGAGGAGCCTTATTTCGAGGACACGAATTTCGCCTTCCTTCTCTTTCTGATTTAGATAGCATTATGACGTGTCACGTCCATGCAGGCATCTGATCACGTGGCAATGTGCCATGCTGGCAGGGCAGTGCTGTGCGATTGGTGGGCTCCGAGGCGTCGCACATGACTCGCTCGCTGCGCCTACGACCCGGTGACTTGTGCGTATCTCCTATTGCAATCCACTTGTTCTTACACATTTTCTCTTGAATGTCGTTGTCAGTCACATTGAGTAGGATTGAAAGTGGTCATTGTGCTTCTAGTCTGCTTTTGCATGAGGCAGTTTTCACCCAGCTCAGTCGAACTGCCATGCATGAGGCATTATTCCTTCCACCAAACCGTTTTCAAAAGTATTTCCCCACCCCCCTCTCTCTCTCCCCACCCCCCTCTCTCTCTCCCCACCCCCCTCTCTCTCTCCCCACCCCCCTCCCCCACATCTTCTTGCATCAACAACAGAGCCGAGTTGTTTGATGGCCAGGGATCCATCGTGACCGTCCGATTGGAATCGATCGACCGCCAACAGGGCCTCGTTCTTGTCGCCACTGAAGCTGCCCGGAAGGTTCCTATTTCTGGGCCCCAGTGGATGGTGGTGGCAGCTTGTGGCACGCTCAAGGGCGGCCGCTCCGATTGGCTGATTGAGAAATGCACGGTCAGGATTGGGTGATGAAGAAATGCACAGTCAGGATTGGCTGCTTAAGAAGTGCATGGTTGGGATGGGCTGATTGAAGAGTGCATGGTCACGTTTGGCTGATTGGAAAATGCACGATGAGAATTTGGGGGGTATTATCCACCGCAGCACCTCCCCTCCCCCTCCATCACTCTCCGTCGCCCCTGCTTCCCCTCCTCTGTTGGGGAATAGCTTCCTTATGCTCACTTTCACCCCTTTCTCCTTCTTTGAGGCGCCTAAAAAATCCTCCCCTCCCCCTCCATCACTCTCCGTCGCCCCTGCTTCCCTTCCTCTGTTTGGAGGGATAGTTTCCTTATGCTCACTTTCAACCCTTTCTCCTTCTCCTTTCCCCCATCCCCTTTCATCTTCTTTCTTGCAGGAGTTGGGAGCAGCAGGGTTTATCCCTCTGGTCACGGAGCGGTCAGGGGGGAGGGGAGAGGGGCGGGTGGACAGATGGGAGCGAGTGGCGCTGGCTGCTGCTAAGCAGAGTGAGTGGGGGAGAGCGTGAGGGGGTGTGTCTGTATGTGTCTGTCTGTCTGTGTGTGCGTGTGTATGCAGATGCAGAAGGTAGGAGCAAGGGGGAGGGGAGAGGGGCGGGTGGACAGATGGGAGCGAGTGGCACTGGCTGCTGCTAAGCAGAGTGAGTGGGGGTGGAGGAAGGAGGGGTGGGGGTGAGAAGCGTGTGTATGTATGCAGATGCAGAAGCTGGGAGCAGGGGGGAGGGGAGAGGGGCGGGTGGACAGGTGGGAGCAAGTGTCGCTGGCTGCTGCTAAGCAGAGTGAGTGGGGGAGAGTGTGAGGGGGTGTCTCTGTGTGTGTGTCTGTTTGTGTGGGGGTTTCGTCTCGTGGCTTCAGCATAACATACACATGCGCCTATCATCTGCCTCCATCCATCCCTCCCTAAGCTTGTCTTCTCCTTCCTGCCCCCGCGCCTCTCTCTGTGTTTCCCTTCCGTCACAGGTCAGTCCATCCAGCGCCCCCTCATCCACGATTTCACATCTCTGAAGGACCTAACCAAGCAGGTACGTAGAATGTGGCATATTCAATGTGCATTTATGAGATGTCTCAACTCTTGAGGTTAATCCATCGGTATGGATGGGCATGGGCTTTTGAGATTTCAAAGGCCCATACATACTGATGTGCATAGTATCCCCACCCAACACACCCCTTCTTCATCCTCTTCTCAACACCACCTCTCCATCCTCTCCCGCCTCCCCTGCAGATCCAGCAAGCCCCTTTGGCTCCCTCCAGTTGGGCCTGCTGAGGCCCCTTTGGCTCTGCTGGTAGCGCCCAACTCACCACACCTGCTGGCAGCAGCAGTCAGGGCGAGGGATCCTTTTCTTGTGTCGCCAACTCCTTCTCACCGCATCCCACTCCTCCCACTTCCTTGTCTCCTGCTGTTCTCCCGCCTCCCCTGCAGATTCAGCAGGCCCCTCTGGCTCTGCTGGTAGCGCCCAACTCACCGCCACTGCTGGCAGCAGAAGGCAGGGGGGTGGATCCTTTTCTAAAGCCACCCTAAACTCTTTCTCACTGCATCCCACTCCTACCTACCTCTTCTCCGTCCTGCCTTCTTTGCAGATTCAGCAGGCTCCTTTTGCTTTGCTGGGAGCCCCCAACTCACCACCCCTGCTGGCAGCAGTCGGGTCTATGGATCATTCCTTGCTGCTAAAGGGCGGGCTGCTTATAGTGGGACCGGAAGGAGGTGAGAGGGTGTGTAATGTGTGGTGTGGGTCAATCCAAGAGGGGGTAAGATTTGTGGTTCAATCCAGTTTTGAGATGTCCCAAATGGGGGGTGATTTGATTTGTGTGGTTGAATCCAGGTTTTCGACCATTCAATTCGAGTTTCAAGACATTAGGGATCGAGTCTTGGCCCAAGTCAGTGGGTGCTGAGTGGGTGCTGCTTGTAACGGGAACAGTAGGAGGTCCAGATTTCGATTATTCCCTTTGAGGCGCCTCTAAGGTCATGATTGCATGCTCCCCATATTTCAATGTGTGAATTGACTTTTGAGTCGACTCAAAAGTCATTTCAATGTGTGAAGAGGCGATTTTTGAGTCGACTCAAAAATTGCTTGCATGCTCCCCATATTTCAATTTCTGCCTTTGCCTGCCTGCACCTGATTCAATTCACCCAACGCCTCCACCTCTTCCATCCTTCTCAACCCCCCCACCCCATGTAGACCTCACCCATCAGAAATAGAGGCTCTGAAGTCGGTAGGGGTACAGGTTGTGGCCTTGTGACTGCAGAGTCCCATATGCACCCGTGTGCTTCTCTGCCTTCTCTCCATTAACCTATCCCTTTACCTCTTTCTCCCCATGCAGACTTCACCCCATCAGAAATAGAGGCTCTGAAATCGGCAGGGGCTCAGTCAGTGAGCTTGGGGCTGCAGAGGCTGAGGGTGGAGACCGCTGCAGTTACCTTGCTGGCAGGCGTCTCTCTATTAGCACACTCGTTACAAGAATAGTGAAGCTGATGTGTGGTACTCAGATCATCGAGGCTGAAGGTGAGACTGCTGCAGTGGCCATGCTGGCAGGAGTCTTGCTAGTGGTACACTCGTTACACGAGCAGGAGAGCTGAGTCAGGCAGGATACCGTAATTGTTACAATGGGGAGGGGAGTAATATGCCGTAACTGTTTTTATTTTGTTGGCGGGCAAATCCGAGCTGGTCGTTGTGAGATCCTATGGAACTTTTTGAAATCGTACTGCATTGAATGCAACAGCTGCTGCTGCTGTTACCATATATCTGAATGTCTTCATTGCCAAGTTGCATGCATGAACCCTGCAAAATTTTACCCTTTTAAGAGGCAAAGGCAAAATATTATACACCGTCCACACAAGGTGGCACTGTACATTCCACCACCTTGCCCAGTGAGGAACACTACCAAAGAATAATAAGTTATCGGAGCTGTTTCTACAGCACGACACTGGATTGAACTACCTTAGAGGACATGAAGGAAGCAAGGTGCAGCATCCAATGCGAGGCCCTGCCTTGCCTTCCCTCCTGATCATGCAAGGCCACCGCACTACACCACACTTCACCACCACACCCCGCCCCGCCACCCCTAGGAGAGGGGACGATCTGAGCGGGCAGTGGCAGCAGCAAGTGCAACAGAAAGTGGCAAGTTCGGTAGAATGGCGTGATGAGGCGATTTTTTAGTCGACTCAAAGTACGGTAGAATGGCGTGGCGTTGGAGAGATGGTCACAGTACCGTATGAGCAAGTACAACTGCTCATAACCATCTCTCAAGTTTTGAGGCGCCTCAAAAAATGCGGGATACAAGACGACTTTTGAGGCTCCTCAAAAGTGGCAAGTACGGTAGAATGGCTTGGGGTTGGGGAGATGGTTACAGTATGAGCAAGTAGAGCTGCCCATAACGATCTCTTAAGTCATAGAGTATTTTTTAGGCGCCTAAAAAATCGCAAGTACAACTGCCCATAACCATCTCTCAAGTCATGGAGTGGGGCTTGGCAGGACAGCATGAATGGCATCGACAGCTGCCCTCATCTCCTCTCTGAGCACCATTCTCTCTCCCCTCCCATTTTCGCTCATTCCCCCTCCCATTTTCGCTCATTCCCCCTCCCATTTTCGCTCATTCCCCCTCCCATTTTCACTCATTCCCCCTCCCCCTCCCCCTCCCCCTCCCCCTCCCCCTCCCCCTCCCCCTCCCCCTCCCCCTCCCCCCACGACAGATAAAATCTCCTCTAGCTGCTCCAAAGACGACGCACCCACAACCGCAGCTCCCACCAGGGGATGCGCCAGCACAAACGATGAGATCCCTGATCTGACCCTTGATTTAACGTTACTGTAACCACAATTAAGGGGTGGGGTTTGGCAGCACAGCATGAATGGCGTCAACAGCAGCCCACATCTCCTCTGTAAACTCTATCCCGTTTCCACTCCCATTCCCTCTCGTTCCCCCTTCTCTATGGGGGGGCAACAAGGGGAAGAGTGAGGGGAAGTGGAGGGAGAAGGCCTCATGGTGACACGATTCAGCTCGGGTGGAGTCAAATGTGCGGCAGAGCAGGGAGTAGGCGTTCTGCAGGGCGATGGGGCGAGGGCGGAGAGGAGACGAGGAGGAGGAGGACGAGGAGGGAGCCGCAGCTTCCAGGAACTTGCCCAGTCCCCATGCGGTCTCGTTGCTGAGTCCAATGTATCGCACTTTCCCTGGTATGGGGGGGCAACGAGGGGAAGAGTGAGGGGAAGTGGAGGGAGAAGGCCTCATGGTGACACGATTCAGCTAGGGTGGAGTCAAATGTGCGGCAGAGCAGGGAGTAGGCGTTCTGCAGGGCGATGGGGCGAGGGCGGAGAGGAGACGAGGAGGAGGAGGACGAGGAGGGAGCCGCAGCTTCCAGGAACTTGCCCAGTCCCCATGCGGTCTCGTTGCTGAGTCCAATGTATCGCACTTTCCCTGGTATGGGGGGGCAACGAGGGGAAGAGTGAGGGGAAGTGGAGGGAGAAGGCCTCATGGTGACACAATTCAGCTAGGGTGGAGTCAAATGTGCGGCACAGCAGGGAATAGGCGTTCTGCAGGGCGATGGGGCGAGGGCGGAGGGGAGACGAGGAGGAGGAGGACGAGGAGGGAGCCGCAGCTTCCAGGAACTTGCCCAGTCCCCATGCGGTCTCGTTGCTGAGTCCAATGTATCGCACTTTCCCTGGTATGGGGGGGCAACGAGGGGAAGAGTGAGGGGAAGTGGAGGGAGAAGGCCTCATGGTGACACGATTCAGCTAGGGTGGAGTCAAATGTGCGGCACAGCAGGGAATAGGCGTTCTGCAGGGCGATGGGGCGAGGGCGGAGGGGAGACGAGGAGGAGGAGGAGGAGGAGGAGGAGGAGGAGGAGGAGGAGGAGGAGGAGGAGGAGGAGGAGGAGGAGGAGGAGGAGGAGGAGGAGGAGGAGGAGGAGGAGGAGGAGGACGAGGAGGACGAGGACGAGGAGGAGGGAGTTGCAGGCTGGCTGGCAGCTTCCAGGAATTTCCCCAGCCCCCATGCTGTCTCGTTGCTGAGTCCCACATACCGCACTTTCCCTGGGATGGGGGGAAAGCGGGAGGCAAGTGGGGGAAGTGGGGGAAGTGGGCGGAAGTGCGTTTAAGGGTCTTCAAAACTAACCCAGATGTATCGGGGGTAAGTGGAAAAGTGGAGTTCAGTGGGGGGGAAAAGGGGGGAGGGGAGAGCACATACTTACAGGTCACAGATCGCAAACAAATCTCCCAAAATTCAACCCAGTTTTGAGACGTCTCAAAACCAAATCTCCCAAAATTCAACCCTAACACACTTGTTGATTCCCTGGACAATCGGACCCACCTGCTTCCACTGCCCTTCCCAGCGCCTCCAGCTGTGCTTCGAACGGGCTGTATTCGCTATAGTCACACCGGGGGTCAAATTCCCAGTCGCCGAACATGGGCACGTAGCGATCGGGCCAGTGCAGCTGCAGCAGATCGATATAGTCACACTTCAGGCGCTGCAGACTGGTGTCTATAGCGGATGTGATATTAACGGGGTCGAGGGCACAAGGGCCCCCTCTTATCCACGTCATCTGAGCGGATGGGCCTGCTACCTGAAAGGTTTCTGAAGGGCGAGAGAGGGGAGGGGAGGGGATTGGAGGGGAGGGGAGGGGAGGGGAGGGGAGGGGAGGGAGGGAGGGAGGAGAGCAGCCATGTTAACGGGGTCGAGGGCACAAGGGCCCCCTCTTATCCACGTCATGTGAGCTGATGGGCCCGCCACCTGAGAGGTCCCTGAAGGGGGCGGAGAGGGGAGGGGAGGGGAGAAGAGGGAGGGAGGAGAGCAGCCATGTTAACGGGATCGAGGGCACAAGGGCCCCCTCTTATCCACGTCATGTGAGCTGATGGGCCCGCCACCTGAGAGGTTTCTGATGGGGGAAAAGGGGAGGTGGGAAAGGAGGTCGTTAGAGACACTGTTTTTACCCACTTCTCAATTTACTGAACCATTTGTAACCCTAAGGTCTCACAAAACCCATATGATCGGCCTGTACAAAACCTGTTAAAGCCCACCTTGGTGGCGAATATGAGTTTGTCTCTCGGAATGCCAGAAGCGGCCAACCACCGCCCCAGATACGCCTCACTTGAGCCCTGGTGGTGGGGAAACGTAAGGGGGAAACGTAAGGGGGGAAACGTAAGGGGGGAAACGTAAGGGGGGAAACGTAAGGGGGGAAACGTAAGGGGGGAAACGTAAGGGGGGAAACGTAAGGGGGGAAAGTGGACTTCAAACAGCAGACGAGTCACAAGGAGTTTCTCGGTCACTGGAATTCACCAACCCAGACATGGCTCGCTGTCGAAGTGGAACAGGTGGGCTCCGGAGGCCTTATTTCCATCAACTCTTGCTGTTTATTCCAGGATCGGGAATTCACCAACCCAGACATGGCTCTCTGTCGAAGTGGAACAGGTGACTTTCTTTGACACAGCTTTCTTTCACCCAAACCAGGATCTGGAATTCACCAACCCAGACATGGCTCGCTTGAACCCTGGTGTCGAGAAAGCGTTTTAGGCCCTGCGTCTCTGCCCACTGAGGCACAGGGTACACCTCAGCTGTATCAAAGAAGGTCAGAGTATGGGGCCTCCCTCTGAGGAAGGAGGGTATCAGAGAATTGAGGAAGGTCACCCCTCCCTCTCCCACTGACTGCCTCATGAACTGCCTTCATGAGAAGCCAGACCAAGCCAAGTCAACAAATTCAAGCAAGTCACCTGCGTCTCTGCCTGCTGTGGCGTGGCACAGGGTACATCTCAGCCGTGTCGAAGAAAGCCACCTGTGTCTCTGCCCGTTGTGGCACAGGGTACATCTCAGCCGTGTCAAAGAAAGTCACCTGAGTCTCTGCCCGTTGTGGCACAGGGTACATCTCAGCCGTGTCGAAGAAAGTCACCTGAGTCTCTGCCCGTTGTGGCACAGGGTACATCTCAGCCGTGTCGAAGAAAGTCACCTGAGTCTCTGCCCGTTGCGGCACAGGGTACATCTCAGCCGTGTCAAAGAAAGTCACCTGAGTCTCTGCCCGTTGTGGCACAGGGTACATCTCAGCCGTGTCAAAGAAAGTCACCTGAGTCTCTGCCCGTTGTGGCACAGGGTACATCTCAGCCGTGTCGAAGAAAGTCACCTGAGTCTCTGCCCGTTGTGGCACAGGGTACATCTCAGCCGTGTCAAAGAAAGTCACCTGAGTCTCTGCCCGTTGTGGCACAGGGTACATCTCAGCCGTGTCGAAGAAAGTCACCTGAGTCTCTGCCCGTTGTGGCACAGGGTACATCTCAGCCGTGTCAAAGAAAGTCACCTGAGTCTCTGCCCGTTGTGGCACAGGGTACATCTCAGCCGTGTCAAAGAAAGTCACCTGAGTCTCTGCCCGTTGCGGCACAGGGTACATCTCAGCCGTGTGAAAGAAAGTCACCTGAGTCTCTGCCCGTTGCGGCACAGGGTACATCTCAGCCGTGTCAAAGAAAATCACCTGAGTCTCTACCCGTTGCGGCACAGGGTACATCTCAGCCGTGTCAAAGAAAGTCACCTGAGTCTCTGCCCGTTGCGGCACAGGGTACATCTCAGCCGTGTCAAAGAAATTCACCCCTCCTTCCACAGCCCTGCTTAGCTGTGCCGATGCATCCTGGTAGCTGGGGGGTGGGGGGAGAGGGGGAGCGGTAGAGGGTTGAAGAGTTAAGACGTGCCACATCACTTACCACCCGCCTTGCAGCCACACTCGCTAACCAATTAGTTTACTGACACACTAAGAGAGCGCGCTACAGTCACTCGCGTTACAGTCACATTCACCGCAGCACTTCTCCAAATAGCGTTGATCCCAAAGCAGACCATATACGCCTAACGAATTGCCTGTACACGCTCATTAAAGACCTTATTTGCACGTTATAGGCACTCTCACCTCAGCGCTTCTCCGAAAAGCATGGTGCCGAGGCAAATGCGCGACACCACCAGGTCCGACTCGCCAAGCCGATTGTACTGCATCGACCGAACAGTAAATCTCCCTTTTCTAGCACATCGGCTGCAATCGCGCTTTTCCTTAGTTAGAGTCACATTGGCTTTTCTTGACAGCGGACTCGAACGGTGACCGCGGAGGAGCAACGGAGGCTCACTCGCTGCTGTAGCGGGAAGCGAGGAGACATTGAGTAGGAAAGCGGGAATTCCAGGCGTCATCGACATTCGAGATAGCTACTATGCTTGAGCGCGAAGCGAGGAGGAAAATCTAGGGGCAGCTGTAGTCATAAAGAGTTTGAGGAGCTTCAGGCATCTGATCTGATGCGGTGCAGACATCTGTCATTCCTGAATTTATTACATGATAACTCTGTCCTCGCAATGAGGCACACGCTTGTAATTGTTGTGTGTATGGAGCACCACTCTATGTGTTCGATATCGAAGTGGTACGTTTGCATTCAATGCGGAGGTGGCGGATGGACTAGAAGCACACATTCGTCTCGTAGCACGTTTTACAGAAAAGAGCATGAAATGAAAGACAGGACCAGCATGGAGAAAGTGCATTTCACTCTACCTGCCCCCGCAAAATCTTCTGGTCCTCGTTATTTCATGTGCATCTTGGCCATGGCATACCAAGGCAATGCAATGCATAAAACCACCTCCATGCGCACATGCTTCTCTTTCTCATTCTTTGGCATCCATGTGAGGCATGCATGACATGCTGCAAGTCACTTTGGAAGGCCTCCAGCAGCAGCACATCCAGTGGCCAGTGTGGTTAGCTGGTGGGAGAGCATGAAAATGAAACTTCTTCTCTTTCTTCTGTTCCTCGTGCATCTCGTCCTCATTCCTCCGAGTCCATGTGAGGCATGACATGCTCCAGGTCGATCTGGAAGGCCTCCAGCACCACATTCAATGGCTGGAGGCAACGCACAAGAACGTGATTCTCAATAACAACGCATTCCTCTCCTCCTCATTCTTCTGTGTCCATGTGAGGCATGACATGGTCGAGGTCGCTCAGAAAGGCCTCCAGCACCACATCCAGTGGCTGGTGACTGGCTGTCTGATATGCGGCTGTCTAATCCTCATTGTCTGTTCCTCGTGCTTCTGCTTCTCATTCCTCTGTGTCCATGTGAGGCATGACATGCTCCAGGTCGCTCTGAAAGGCCTCCAGCACCACATCCAGTGGCTGGTGTCGCAGCTTGGAAGCAAGCGAAGGCACGAGGGGGAAACCATGCTGCCATCAGGAAACAGAGACACCACAAAACGTTAGAATAAGCATCACCGTCTAAAACAAACTATATCTGCACCACTACCTAATGGGAAGTGAAAATTGAACCGAGGGGCACCTTTGTTTCAGGGCAGAAAAACGTGAAGCACAGAATACCTTTGCCATGAAGGTATGCTCAGATAGTAGAATGGCAACTTGCACGTCTGGGTTCTTCACCACGCGCTGCCTGAAGTGTGATGGGTATCAAAGAGGTACGGACACGAGGTTAGGAACAGCAGCAGGGTTTGATTTAAAGCGCTTAGTGTGGGGATAGTAGAGTGGCAACCAGCACATATAGACTCTTCGTTGTCACACTCTGCCCGCAGTGTAATGAGCATTGAAACAAAAGTGCGAACAGGAAAGAAGGGAACAGCAGCAGGTGATGAGGGGCCTTAAAATTGGGCACGCGCAATTGCATCCGAGAGGTGATTTATGAGTCGAGCCACTAGAAGTATCATACCTCGTGCAAAGCTTGGCGCATGCGATAGCAACTCGAATGAGGCTCTCCAGAGTCAGCAGCGACACATCCCCAACATCCTGGTCCACCTTTGCCCAACGAACAAAGATGCCACAAAGACAAGAAAGAAAGACCCTACCAGGAACCATCATTTCGCACCTCATGCACAGCTTGGCGCATGCGATCGCAACTCGTATCAAGCTCTCCAGAGTCAGCAGCGACACGTCCCCAACATCCTGGTCCACCTTGGCCCGGCGAATCACAAGGTAGTAAGCATGCAGCGCACTGCATGCCTCCTCAGAGAATGAAGGCGACACTGCTACCCTGCTAGCAGCCTCCACGTGCTGCTGTATCTCGGCCATAGGCATCAACGCAGGAAGCTCCGTATCCCATGAATCCGCCTCCTCTGCTCCATCCAGAAAATAATTTCCGCCTGCTTTCCTGCCACCTTTTTTCCGTTTCACCCCAGCAGCACCGCCAACGCCAGCGATACCACCAACGACAGGGCCACCGCCAGAGGAATTCGCAGGCGACAAGACAATGTCGAATTTCGGCAGAATTCTAGCCAGAGGAGCGTCTTTCTTTGCAGTGATCAGATCTGCAAGCACAGGCCCAGGCAGCCCTGATGCTAGCCGAGCAGCTGTTTCCTTTGTCCCACTGTTGGAGGTCAAACAGGCGTGCTGCCCGCCTCCCGATCGGTTCTCCTCGTCGAAATATGTCGCCCACACCGTTCCGCAGCCCACAGCCATACCAGCAGCTCCCGCGACGATCTTATGCCGGTCCATGGCTTGGCTCAACAGCACGGCCGCATCCAACCGCACCAAACCCCTGGAAACGTCAGTCAGGACGATCCCCGAGCTCCCCAGGGCTAGGCTTCCAGCCGACAAGCCATCCACTCCAGAATTCGGAAGAAAATGCTCGTCGGATTTTGCAGACAGTTTCTTTCCCAGGAGGTGGCGGCCTCTTGGGGGTTGCAATCCCATGACATGCCGGATGCTTCGCCTGGCTAGCTGAGCGGCAACTTCTAGGGACCGCTCCAGGATCGGACATCGGCCGTTGGATGTCAGGAGGATGTTAATCTTGGACCGTCGGTGATTGGGGGGAGTTTGGGGGTTGTGGTGGTGGAGATTTGAGGTGGTGGTTTTTCCTAGAATGGCTTGGAGTGGAGTGTGGGACTGGGACGGGACGGGGGTGCTACCAGGAGCTAACACCAGGCTGAGGAGGAGAGCAAGAGGGAGAAGCTCTGGGATGGCAAAAGCATCTGAGTCTGAAAGCCCTGCAATGCCCTCTGGGCTTATGATTCCCAGAGCACTTCCAGCGAGATTAATGACAATCTCTCTCTTCAAAGAATCTGCTAGACTCATAAGGATTGACAGACCCTCATCAGGTGGTGCTGTGACAGGATTCGGAATGCTGTGCCAGTCTTGGGTTTGCGAAAGAAATTGGGTCTGAGATAGGAAGGGATTCTGGGAAAGGAGGCTGTCAGACTGGGAGCAAGTCGGGCTGCTAGAAGCCAACTGGCTGGAAGAAACTTTCGGGCTGGAAGGAACTTTTATCATGTCATGAATCCCAAACAATTTCCCCATGGGGTTAGCAGATTTTGGCTTGGACCAGACCGTTTCTTCGCCTGAAATCAGATTGTTAGCAATGATTCTTGTAGCATCGAAGATCTGGGTATTGGGAGGTAGCTGATAAGATGAACCTGGGCTCCACGTGTGTCCAATCACATCGCAGAGAGCACCCACGTGGAGCCTGCCGGCTAGATCATGAAGCAGAAGCACGTGAAATAGTGGTGGCCTTGAAAAGTGTTGATCGCTTTTTCTAAGAGTAGGTATAGGCCCCAATACGATATCCTGAAAGCTTTTCACACGTCAGTAGATGCGACACATGTGACTTATGTCAAATGAAACGACTGAATCAAATCAATTATGACTTACCTGCAACTCCGCTTCGATTCGCCGTGACAGGTCTTCACTGAAGGAATTCGAAGGGCAACACAGGACTTGGGATGCAACGTCATCTGTCCACCACACGTCCTTCACTCGCCCGCATGTCTGGCACTGAATCCTCCTCATGAAGATAATGTGCTGGGAGGATATTATTCCATGGACGAAAATAAAAACGGTCAAGGAAAACATTTTACAAGACAGAAAAAACTATGAAAAAAGAACAGAAGAGGACTGTTCTGAAGCATGTTTCCCAGATGCAAAATCCAGGTGTAGCAGCCTTCCTGTACAGCATCCCAAGTAATTGCAGCTGTCGCTCACTCATGCTCACTCCATTCTGGCTTGAATAATAGAGCAGGGGTTGGATATCTTTCGTGTTAACGACGCAAAGTAAACCACGCCATGGATGCGAACGAGCTGATTCGACGGTCCCAGATGGATCTTGGCAGTCCAGGCCTCCTCGACCGTCAGATTCGGAATCGGAGCCGTAGTAAATCGGATTAGAAGCAAGGCACGAGATCTGATACGAGGTCTGTCCTTCTCTGGCGAAAACCCTTCTTCTTCCTTCTTTACGTCCGTTCCAGACAGGACGACGAGGAAATGTTCGGAAAGGAAAGTCGAAATCGGTCGGACGTCCGAAAGAAGCAGAATCGCGGTTCCCAGGGACCAATCAGCGAGCTCCATGCCGTCTACGGGGACAGGAAGAACGGATTCTCCGCGTGAAAGTCTTTCCAGAAGACCGTTAAATTGTCCTTTGACTTGCAACCAGTCCGTTAGTTTAAGAACTGCCTGCTGCATGGTATGAAAGGACGCCATGTTAAATCACTGGCAAAAAACTGATTGAATCAAGTGAATATTGCAGCACCGTGTCAGGGATCAGCTAGTCAGTCTTCTCTAGTATTCAGATCTCCAATCTCGTGCACCTGCTTGCACACTCTTCGTTTCCTTATGAAACCACCCATAGAGCAGCAGTCGTCAAGCTGAAGAAATCCAGAAATTCAACCCTCCAACTTCAAGGCATACTTCGGTGTTCTCTGTGGTTGGTTCTTGTTCGCGAAGCCCGTTGGGGTGGAAGTCATCCTGTGGGTTTCATGGTTGGCGTTAGTGGTGGTGTCGCTGCTGTTATCTTCGTGAATGGTTTTCGCCACAAGCAGAAGCTTTCGCTGTGTGGCGTGCTTCGTTGATAGTGTTACTGCTCCCAAATTCCTCCATCGTGTTTGATGATGTGCTGTTGGGAAGGGCAAAGAGTTTGTCTTCGGCCAATCACTTCGAACTTTGGAGCCAGTCGATCTCTGACAAACCAGCCACGTCAGTTTCGCGCCACAAAATCAATGGGAACTACGTGCTTCTCCGCTCCGCACATCCTTCCGAAAGCCTGTTATGGGCAGTGCAAACATTTTGTCGCGTGTGTGGTTGGACTTTTTTTGTGTTTGAAATTGAAGCATACATCGATGGGGTTAATGTATACAGCAATAGCAGTCGCAACTGGTGTGTGTGGTTGGACTTGCCTTTCCAGTACACCCAAACCAAATTCCTTCGTCATGGTGGCACTGCAGCGTGTCACATGCGACTTGATGATGTCGGGCAGGTATGGGCATCTTCTCGTACAGTAATGTTTTCAAATGTGGGAGAGGCTTCGAAATCCTTGACAAACCAACCACGTGATTTCCCTCCACAAAACAATGGATCTTTCCCCCCTCTGCTTACCGCAAATATTCCTGCGCGGACGTTGAGCCCCCCCACGACCCTGAATTCCAGTTCGAGCTACCCACTTCAAATCCCAAATTCCTCATTACTTGAGGGCGCATTCAAGTCTCAAATCACACATACGGAAGATGCGGAAATCCGAGGTTGGAAGATCCGACCGAACATTTGGGCTCATTCTTTGGGTCCCAGACCCAGAGAGCAGAATCCCAAGACAACCGGAAGATTGTCACGAGCCTTACAGAAATTCTGAATCCAAAGACACTTTCGCCGCGCCACCCACCACCCGCCAACCACATCCCTCCCCCCCTCTCCCTTCCCGAGCCTCCCCCTTTCACCACTTCAACTTATAAATCCTCTCTGCCCCCCGCCATTTTCGAGTAGTTTTCAGATTCACAGACAGCTCCTGCTTCTCGTTGCTGCACCACCAGACTCCTTTCGAATGGCGCCCGTCGAACCGCCGCCTGCGGGCAGCGTGATGACGTACGAGCAGCTGCGGCAGGCGAAAATGCAGGCGACGCAGCGCGCGTTCGCGGAGCTGCAGAGCCTGTCGGCGGATTTAACCCAGGAGACCCGCCGGCAGGCCGGCGAGAATCAGCAGCAGAAGCAGCCCCGACGGACGTGGACGCGGCGAAAGCTCTTCGACAAAGTTCGCCGATCCGGCAGGTGATTCTTTCGCGCATTTTTACTCTCCAGGCATCTGAAAACTTGAGGCACCTCTAAACTTGAAGAAACTCGAAGCTTGAGAAGCGTCGCAGAAGCAGCGCATCAGCGATACCCTCGCCGGTTGTGGATGCGGCGAAAACTCTTCGCGGAAGTTCGTCGATCCAGCATGTGACTCCTTCGCACATTTCCAAACGCGGCTTCGAGACTCCTCATCATCGCCGCCAGTCATGAGCTGTTTTTGCACGTGCCGCGCAGAAGTATTTTGAGGTGTTTCAAAAGTTGTACCGCGCACGTCCGCCTAGATTCTTATACGTTTCGACAACGCCGTTCTCACCATACTCCAGACCTCCCCCGCTGCCCAATACCACGAGCTAGAGAGGAGAGCAAAGCAGCACAGCACTGAACGCCTCTGCCCTGTCTTCCCTCTTCTGTGCCCCTCGGCCCCACTCTACCCCCTTCTTTTCCCCCACTTTCTCCGCCGCTCCCCTTCTCCCCTGCTAACCGGTACCTCGATCTGAACGAGAGAACGCCAGAGCGCAGCACCGCACACACCCCCACCTTCCCCTTTCTGCTCTCCCCGCTTCTCTCCGAACAACTCCCCCCCTCCCCTCCCCCACCTTCCCCCCTTTCTCCAGGCTTCAGAACTCCTTTGCTACGCAATACATCGAGCTGGACGAGAGGTCGCCAGAGCGCAGCACCGCACACAACCCCCATCTTCCTCCTTCCGCCCTCCTCCCCAATCTCCCACCCCCCCCCTTGTCCCCTCCCCCTTCCACACAAACTCCCAACCCCCCCTTCTCTCAACAGGCTTCAGAACTCCCCTGTTACGCAATACCTCGAGCTGGACGACAGAACGCCAGAGTGCAGCACCGAACCGCTCTGCCTTGTCTTCCCCCTTCTGCCTCCTTGTCACTGTCCCTCCCCCATCGCCCCGCGCCCCTCTCACCAGGCTTCAGAACTCCCCTGTTACGCAGTACATCGAGCTGGACGAGAGAACTCCAGAGCGCAGCACTCCACGCCGAACCCGAGCCTGGCAGCTTCGGCCTATGGGCTCGGCAGGCTCGGCCGAGGCTGGGACGGTGGTTCGGTGCGGGAAGGAGGTGTACACGGAGGAAGACCTAAGGAAGCTTCGAGGGCATGTGAAGCCGTATGACATCAGCGTTGAGCGATTCAAGAATAGGGTTTATGACCCTGTAAATGGGAAGACATGTCACCAATGCAGGTATCTTGAATATGAGGTCAGAGTGATGAAGTGAATTTAGTGTGATGGGGACCGTGGGAAGCCATATGACATCAGCGTTGAGCGATACAAGACGAGGGTGTATGACCCTGTTAATGGGAAGACATGCCACCAGTGCAGTGCAGGTATGGATGATTAGGAGTTCAGAGTGGTAAGTGTTGAGTACTGGACACGTGAAGCCGTATGACATCAACGTTGAGTGATACAAGAACAGGGTCTATGACCCTGTTAATGGGAAGACATGCCACCAGTGCAGGTATGGAACTGGAAGGAAACTGCGTGAATGGATTTGTGACCCTGTCAATGGGAAGACATGCCACCAATGCAGGTATAATTGACTTAGAGGTCAGAGTGAGTAAATGAGTACTGGCCGCATGTATGAAATCAGCGTTGAGCGATTCAAGAACAGGGTCTATGACCCTATCAATGGGAAGACATGTCACCAATGTAAGTAACTGGATCAGGAATGGAAGATCATGGAATGGAAACCATATGACATCAACATTGAGCGGTTCAAACTGAGGGTATATGACCCTGTTAACGGAAAGACGTGCCACCAATGCATGTATCCACTGGAAATGGTACCGTTAGTAGTCTTCAGGCGCTTTTAAAAATGTCTCCGTTTCACTTCTCCTAGCTTCCTCCCCTGTGCTGCCCCTCCCCTTCTGCACTGCCTTTTCTCAGGTGGAAGACGTTGGGGCTGCGCACCGAGTGTGCGGCATGCGAGGCTTAACCTGCAAGCCCATATATTGCCTCTCCACCTCATTGCCTTCCTCTGCACCTCCCCCTTTCCGTACAGGCAGAAGACGTTGGGGCTGCGCACCGAGTGTGCGGCATGCAAGGATCGCTCTGTGTGCGGACAATTCTGTGGGGACTGTCTCTTTGTGAGGTGAGACTACACTAGGAGACTATACAAGGTGAATTTTTTTAGATAAGGGTCTACGTGTGATGAATTAAGAGACTGTATGAGGAGGTGAGACTATATGAGGTGGCACTATATCAGGTGAAACTGTATGAGGTAAGATATGGGAAGAACATACAGGAGGCACAGCCTACCCCGCATGGGCTGGCCAGTCATATATGGGACATCTGCAACTGCTCCATCTGCAGAAACCGCAAGGGATGGGGACCAACAGGGCCACTGTTTCATAAGGTAAGAGTTGATCCACAACCTTTTGGTAATGCTCTACTCTACGCTAGCACACCTCGCATGAGAGTGCCGGTGTGTCGGGACATCTGCAACTGCTCCATTTGCAGAAACCGCAAGGGATGGGGACCAACAGGGCCACTGTTTCATAAGGTAAGAGTTGATCCACAACCTTTTGGTATCGCTCTACTCTACGCTAGCACACCCCGCATGAGAGTGTCCGGTGTGTCGGGACATCTGCAACTGCTCCATCTGCAGAAACCGCAAGGGATGGGGACCCACTGGCCCACTGTTCCATAAGGTACTCTCCCTCAGGTACTGTTTCAAAAGGTACTGCCCTACACACAAGGTAACAGTGCCAGCCTTCTGTTATACCCTACAGCCGCCCGTTGTGTCGGGACATCTGCAACTGCTCCATCTGCAGAAACCGCAAGGGATGGGGACCCACTGGCCCGCACTTCCACAAGGTAACGCTACATCTCTCTAGTGGTAACCATATACGTGGTAAGCTTCTGCTTACTGCACAAAGGTGGGCTTGGAGTCGACCGCAAGGGATGGGGGTTCACTGGACCGTTCTTTCTGAAGGTGCTGCTACAGCTTACATGGATGGGATGGGGCAGCTCACATGGATGGGATGGGACAGCTCACACGGATGGGATGGGACAGCTCACACGGATGGGATGGGACAGTTCACACGGATGTGATATGTTTTCTGCCCCGCTCCCTCGCCCACCCACCCGCTCATCCTTGCTCCTCCCATCCCATTCCACCCGTCCCTCCTTGATCCTCGTGCCCTCCCGCCCTGCAGGTGTGGGGTGCGGGTTACCAGTCGGTTGCACACTATCTCATGATCACCAGGATGGTCAAAGATGGGGAGAGCACAGGAGCACGGGCGGATGGAGGGGTGGAGGGGGGAAGTGGCAGTGAGGAGGGGGGTGAAGCGGAGGGAGGGAGTGACGGAGCAGGAGGAGAGAGTGGGGAGGGAGATGAAGAGGGAGGATGTGAGGAGGAGGGGGGACAGGAGGGGAGTGAGTTGACGTTGATAGAAGAGTGTAAGGATGGGAATGAGAAGGCGCGGAAGAGAAAGCGGGAGGTTGAGAGGAGTGCCATGGAGACGAGGGGACGGAAACAGGGACTCGGGAGGAAGAAGGAATGTGTGATCAGGAAGGGAGAGGAGGAAGACGAGGAGGAGGAGGAGGAGGAAGAGGAGGAGAAGGAGAAAGAGGAGGATGATGAGGATGTTGTGGAGATTTGGGTGTGCAGAACGGTGGTGCAAGTGAAAGAGGAGAGGGAGGAGGGGGAGGTGGAGGGAGTATCGGAGATCGAGTGGACCAAGATGACTGCAGTAGAGGAGGAGGGTGTGGAGGAGGGAGAGGTGGAGAGAAAAGAGGAAGAAGGCCTAAGGCGGAAAGGGCAGGTGAAAGTCAAGACGGAAAATACACCAGCGACCTGTGGGAAGAAGACATTTGGCGGTTCGAGTATATGGGGTATCAAGGGAGGGTCACTTGTTGAGATAGCCACAGGAGCAGGTGCAGGGAGCGAGGTGAAGCGAGAAGACAGCGAGGTGAAGCGAGAAGAAAGCGAGGTGAAGCGAGAGGAAAGCGAGGTGAAGCGAGAAAGTGGGATCATGACAAGGAGAGCCGCGGCAAGAATGGAGGCTGAAGCTGCCAAGTTGAAGGCGGCTCATGGTCGGGTGCTGCGGTCTCGTACAATACATGTACCACAGACAGGAGGAGCAGCAGCAGGAGGAGGAAGAGCAGGAATGGGAAAGGGGGTTGCTGCTGCAGTTGGGGATAGTAAAAAGGGAACAAAGTGGGGCCTTAAGCTGGTAATGAGGAGCGCTGTAAAGGGGATGGGGAAGAGGGGGGGCAGAGAAGAAGTGGAAGAAGATAAGGCACAGTTGAGGCATCTCCAGAAGGAAGAGGACTCTGAGAGTGATGATGATGTAGTCGAAGTGGTGGTTGCTAGGACAGTCTAAGAAAACGTGTAGTTATTGAGAACGTGGAAGTAACTAGTGTGTGAGTGCAGTGTGTGGGGGGGGGGGGGGGGGGGGTGAACATACAGTCAATGGTCATAGGCCCATTGCCTTAAATACTCTCACAGCTTCATCTACGGTAGTACGTTTTTGGTTTGGATAGATCGCTCCAAACATGTGAATAAACTCATCATGAGTTTCAAGGTATGTGTTGTTGGGCTGAGAAGGCCCTTAGGATCTTTGCAGGACAGAATTCAAGAGTAGGATGATGTAGTAGCGGAAGCGTTTAATAAAGGATTGTGAACCACCTTGCGCTTGTATGTGAGGGCAAAGTAAGTTAATAATAACAAAAGGATACAAGCTTTTATATGATTACAAGGAATATGAAAGGGTTCTATTTTAACTGTTTTTGCTGTTGCGGTTCGATACAGTGCCGACTCGGGTAACTGCTCTGTAACGAGTCAGTTATATGTCCTTGTTGTCGCACTGTACATTTCGTCAGGTCAAAGGTCGCTGACCTTTGACTTTCGCGTAACCTCCAGCAGTTGTTCAACCTCCGAGGGTTGACTCACCGATGTTTCGATACGATCTGCTTCGCTTCTGTCTTGGTGTTTCGACACGACAGAGGCGCTTAAATCAGTTGTTTCCAACACTCCCCTTCGCTTCTGGAGTGTCGCTGCAGGTGACGTGGCTCTGTCCAGTCAGCAGCATGCAATATTCGAACTTCGACTTTCCGAGCTTCTTGGTCAAGTAATCAGCTGCCATCTCGGATGTGGGGCAGTAAGACAGCTCAAGTCTTCCCTTCTCGATCTCGTCTTTTACGAAGAAATAGCGCAGGGCGATATGTTTCGTCCTGTTCGCGAATCAATTTTTGTTGGCGATGCGAATTGCTGACTGGTTATCGCAAAATAGGGAGAAGCTGGGTAACTGGGCCAGCTTCGCTTCTTCCAGAAGTTCGCGAAGGTACAGTCCTTCCTTGGTGGCTGAGCAGAGTGCGATATATTCAGCTTCAGCTGAGGAGAGGGCGATTAATTCCTGTTTGCTCGACTGCCATGAAATAGGTCCGATAGGCTCGAGACGGTAGATGTAGCCTGTGCGTGAGCGCCTGTTGTCAGAATCTCCGGCGTGGTCGGCGTCGACGTAGCCGATTAGCTTGGGCGTTGTAGTTATGTTTTTGTAGTAGATCAGGCCGATCGTCGGAGAGCTTACGAGGTAGTGTAGAACGCGATCGAGCTCCTTCATGTGTTCGTCTTCAGGCCTTTTGAGGTAGGTGGCGAGTTGGCTTGCTGAGTATGATAGGTCTGGACGGCAGGTGACGGCCGCGAAGAGAAGGCATCCTAGCTTTCTCTGGTAGTTGCGTATGCCGGCGGGTTTCAGTGGAGCAGATTCTGCCTTGTCATTTCCTGCCGTGTAGCGGTATGGCGTAGAGATGGTAGTTGGCGTAAGTGCGAACCGTTTGGCAATGGTGTCGGCATATTTTGCGGCGTTGAGATAGACCGCGCCTTCTTCTTCTTGGATGTTGAGGCCGAGGTACTGCGTGACGGTAGATGAAACCGTGAGGGTGAGGTCCTTTTGTAGCTCCCCTTTGAACCAGGTAGTAACGTTGTCGGTCGACCCGATGTAAAGCAGATCGTCTACGTAGACGATTAGTAGAATGTAGTCGTCGCCTTTCGTGAGCCGGTACATTCCTTGGTCGTGCGGTAGCTGCCGGAATCCGATGCGAGTGAGTCGAGCGTGTAAGTACTGCTGCCACAGTCTCGGGGCCTGTTTGATCCCGTACAAGGATTTCAGCAACTGGCAGATTTGGTTAGGTTCTCCATGGGAGCCGCGTGGAAGTTCGACGAAGATTTCTGCGTCGACAGGTGCGTAGAGAAAAGCATTGGCAACGTCGATTTGCCGCAGCTTCTTTTTCTTCATAGCGGCGACCGCGAGAAGAATCCGTAGTGAAGTGTGTCTGCTGACCGGAGCGAATGTCTCGGTGAAGTCACGTCCATGCTCTTGATCGAAGCCGCGTACGACCCAGCGTGCCTTGAACTTGTCGATGGTGCCATCTGCTTTTGTCTTCACACGGAAGACCCACTTCCCGGTGAGTATTGTCTTGTTGCGTGCCACGCCGATAGGAACAACTTTCCAGGTGTTGCGCTCCTGTAGTGCATTCAGTTCCTTGTCCATGGCTTCACGCCATTTTTCCTTATGCTCCCCCCCCAGAGCCTGCTGAACTGTGGCAGGCTCCTTAGGAGTGTCCGTGCCGTGGACCGCGGTGACGAGACCAAGTATCTGAAGACCACTCTGTGTGTAGCGGGGGAGTGTTGTGTCCGCGGGATAAGCTGCTTCGTCACCTGCTTCTGGGTCAGGTATGAAATTGGGCCCTATGCGTTCTGCTTCGTTGGTGTTGACTTCTGCAGGTGTAACGTAACCAGTGTCGGCGAGGTCGAAATAAGTTTCGGCGTTGACGCTTTCGCGAGGATTTTCGTCATCCATCGGGATAGGAACGGAGCAGTATGGGAGTGGTCCTGCTTCGTCTGAGGCGTTATCCACATTCTGCTCATCCCAGTCAGCTTCGTCTGCTGCCAAGGCGAAGTGTCGGTCACCATGGAAGCCACCTGTGGGATCCCGATTTTCTTCCAGGTTGGCAAGATATGTCGGAAGGGTGAGTCGTTCGTAGAAAATGACGTCACGTGCTGCTACTGTTTCCTTGGAGTGGACGTCGAAAATCTTCCACGCGTTGTAATTTCTTTCGATGCCCAGGTGTAGTCCCCACTGTGCTCGTTGGGAAAATCGGCCGGCTCGTGCAGATGGGGGTCGGTACTGTACCATGCAGCCGAAAACTCTTAACATTTTTGTGCTGCCCTGTTTTCCTGTCCACAGCAGGTGCGGTGATGCGTTGTTCGGTAGTGACGACGACGAAAGCAAGTTGTGCAGCATGACAGCGTGGTCCATCGCTTCAGGCCACTGGTGATTGGGCAGTCGCATGCCACGCAGTAATTTGCGCATGGTGTTGTGGAGAGTTCGATTCATCCGTTCCGCCACGCCTTGCTATTGATGGGCGTAAGGAAGCGAGATGAGCCTCTTGATTCCCTTTTCTGCCAAGAACTGCTTGAACCTTTGTGAGGTGTATTCTCCTCCTCCGTCTGACTGAAAGCTTTTCAGTTTCTCGCCTGATTCTCGTTCTGCTACTGGGAGCCAAGCGATGAAGCCTTCGAAGGCCATGTCCTTGCTCGGAAGATTGAGGTGCCAAACGTAACGTGTAGCTGTATCGATGAACGTGATGGTATAACTGTATGCTCCTTGTCCGGGTTCGCGATTGTACAGGATGTCGCTGTACACCTTTTCAAGTGGTGCGTAAGCTGGTGCGCTGGGATTGTGGTGAGAAGTGAAAGGTAGATGCGGTAAGTCAGCTTCGGGGCAGGTAAAACACGTTCCTTGCGCTCGTCGAAGTTCACTTCCGTCGGTTAGAAGCAGTGAATCTTTGTCGAGAACTCCTGCTCTGATTGTGTTGTTTAACACCGTGTTACTTAGATGTCCCATTCGTGCGTGCCAGATGTCTACGCTAGCGCGATGTCCGGGTGAACGATGATACAAGTCGGAGTTGGAGTAAAAGGCGGCGGTGAAGTTGGCGCTTCTGTGAATTTCGCGAGGAGTGGGAGTTAGCTGCTGCGCAGGAGTCGGTGAAGTATTGTCGATGTGTGGCGATGTCGTTGAAGAACTCGCGACTGGTGTTGTAAGTGTTGTTGGTGTTGCCGATGTTTCTTCTGCTGCCGGTGTTGTTTCTGCTGCTGCCGACGTTGTTTCTGCTGCTGCCGAGTGTTGAATTGTCGCTAATGCTCTTGTTCGTTCTGCTTCAGGGATGGTGTGTGAGTACCAGAAGCCTTCTGGACTGAAGTCAGGGTCAAGATCCGGTGGATGTGTCCAAGAGGTGAAGGTGACAATCCCGTCGCTGTCGGCGGTGCCGAGGTCTGGAACAAAGTCGAGGACGAATACGTTGTTTTTCAAGACTGCTTTTCCGATGTAGAGACCACCCTTGCCGTGGTATAATTTAAACTCTTGAGTGGTGCTGTCTGCCTCGAGGTGTATGCCCTTCGCCATCAGCTGACTGACGCTCAGTAGGTTGTAACCGAGCCCTTCTGCTATCAAAACCTTTGACATCTGCAGTATGACGTTTGTTTCTCGTGACTGAAGTTGCACTACGCCTTGTCGTCGTGTGCGCAGGTTCTGATTGTTGGCGATGGTGATGACAACTTCGCGTTGAAGTTGGTGTTCACGTTGAACAAAACGTCCTGAGGAGCACATATGCTGTCCACAGCAACTGTCCAAGAACCACGTATCCTTTCCGGATGGCTCGCTTTGAGCGATGGCTGCGTACGTTGGATTTGGTTGAAGTGACTCGCGGCGAGGCGTGCTGTTGTGGAGTTGTTCTTCCGATGAGTAATGTGGTGGAGACTCGGTGATGCAGGAATCGGTCAGCCGTGTCATACAACTGACGATGTTTCTTGTTTCTTGCGCAGGTTGTCCCGTCGATGTTGTTGAGACTTGTACTTGAGATGTCGAATTTGCTTGCGTTGAGGCAACTTGACTGCTTGAAGGCCGAAGCTGCCGCTGCGTCGGTTCTGACTGTTGTCGGTTAGGACAGTGTGTACGAGGATGTCCTGACGTCTTGTAGAGGTGACAGAACGGAGGTACTAGTTTCGGTTGATGCTGATAGTTGTTGTTGTTGTAGCGCCGTTGAGTGTGGAATGCGAATTCAGGTACTGATGCCTTCTTGTTGTGTCGTTCTTCTTGCAGGTCCATATCTTGCTACTCAGCGTGGATCTCGGCGCAGAGTGCTGCTTCTGATATCTTGTCAGATTTATATGACATAGCTACTGTAGGCTATAGTGGGGTGGCACATATGGGGTACAGTTTTCTAGGGTTTGCTTTTTGTACCCAACTTTCACTTAGTCATTTCATTCCTCGTTTCTTCTCATGGTATCGAGCAGGTTCCCTAGTGGGAACGATTCCTAGGG